ACAAAGCTTTACAAGGAGTATTTAGATTTGGAACTTTAAAAGAAAAGAAGAATCACATGAGGAAAAGTTTGGTTTGATCCTGGCTTGTCAGGACTCTAAGAATTGAATTAAATTGATTTACAGAGCTAAGAGAAGAGTGAGGCTAAAAGTAAAAAGTAAATTTCAAACCAAAACTAATTAAGAGAGACAAAGAAGGTCATTATATCCTTGTAAAGGAAACAATCCAACAGGAAGAGATTACAATCATAAATATATATGCACCAAATATTAATGCCCCCAACTGTACAAAACAAATATTAAGGGACATGAAACACCAAATAAGCACTAATACAATTGTAGTGGGCGATTTCAGTACCCCATTGTCACAAATAGATCATTTAGACAAAAAATTAACAACGAAATACTAGAACTGAACCAAGCTTTTCAACAAATGGATTTAATAGATGTCTACAGAGTGTTCCACCCCACAAAATCAGAATATTCATTCTTTTCAGCTGCACATGGGTCATTCTCCAAAATAGACCACATAATGGCTCTTAGAACATGTTTAAGTAAATGAAAAGGAATTGAAGTTATGCCATGTATATTATCAGACTATAGTGCAGTTAAGCTGGAGATCAATAGCATAAGAAACCACAAGAACTTCACAATCACATGGAAATTGAATAACACTCTCCTGAAGAACCAATGGGTCACAGCAGAAATTAAAGAAGTTAGACAGTTTTTACAATTTAATGATAATGCCAGTGAAACATACAGGAATTTATGGGATACAATGAAAGCAGTTTTATGTGGGAAATTCATAGCAGTGAATGCCCACACTAGGAAAACAGAGCAAGCTCAAATAAACAACCTAATGCCAAATCTTAAGTTCCTAAAAAAAAACAAAAAAAGAGCAAGAGAAACCCAAAGCTCATACAAGGAAGAAAATTATATAGCTCAGAGCAAAAATCAATAATGCAATGGAGATTAAGAAAATGATACAAAAAATCAACAAATTGAAGTTGGTTTTTCAAAAGAATAAATTAAAAAACTTATCCCCAAAAAAAGGAAAAAAAGGCTTAAATCCATGAATTAGGAATGAAAAAGGTGAAGACACAACAGATCCAGCAGAAATTCAAAAGAACATTAATACGTACTTTTATATACTGTACTCTAATAAAATGGAAAATAAAGAGGAAATGGACAGATTTCTAGATACATGTGAATTACTGCAGTTGAACAAAGAAGATAAAAAATTTTAAACACACCAATTACAATCAGACAAATTGAAAATGTAATTAAAAACTGACCAACAAAGAAAAGCCCAGGTCCTGATGGTTTTACTGCTGAATGCTGTAAGACATTTAGAAAAAAACTACTTCCACTACTCATTAAATTTTCCAATGAAATTGAAAAGGAAGTAATATTTCCAAATTCATTCCTGGAAGCAAGTGCTACTTTGATTCCCAAAGCAGGGAAAGACCCAACCAAAACAGAGAACTACAGGCCAATCTCCCTAATGAACATAGATGCAAAAATCATCCATAAGATACTGGCAAACAAAATACAGAGGGTCATCAAGAAGATCATCCACCTTGCCCAAGATGGATTTATCCCAGGGATGCAAGGATGGTTCAAAGTATGTAAATCAATAAATGTAATATACTATATTAACAGAGTCAAGGACAAAAACCATGTGATCATCTCAATAGATGCAGAAAAAGCATTCAATGAAATTCAACACCCATTCATGATAAAAAAAAAACAACCCTGCACAAAATGGGAATAGATGGTCTTTATCTCAACTTGATAAAGGCTATCTGTGAAAAACCAATAGCCAACATCATCCTAATTGGTCAAAAACTGAAAACCTTCATGCTAAAACCAGGAACAAGACAAGGATACCCACTATCACCACTCCTGTTCAATATAGTTCTAGAAACATTGGCCATAGTAATTAGACATGTGAAAGAAATAAAAGCAATAAAGATACAAAAGGAAGAAGTGAAACTGTCATTATTTGCTGATTATATGATGCTCTACATTGAAGACCCAAAAAAATTCTGCCAAAAGACTTCTAGACTTAGTAAACAAATCTAGTAGAGTAGCTGGATACAAAGTCAACACTCAAAAATCAATAGCCTTCTTGTATAGAAATAACAGACTCTCTGAGAGTGAAATTAGGGAAAACAATCCCTTTCACAATATCATCCCAATAAAAGAAATACATAGGAATCAATCTAATGAAGGAAGTAAAAGATATTGAAAGCTACAGCACTCTGAAAAAAAGAGATTGAAGAGGTTATAAGAAAATGGAAAGATATCCCTTGTTCCTGGGTAGGAAGAACCCATATAGTGAAAATGGCCATACTTTCAAAACTTCCATACAGATTCAATGCAATTTTAAGTGAAATTCCAACAGTATATTTCACAGAACTAGAGAAAATAATAAAAAAAACTTATTTGGAATAAGAAGAGACCTAGAATAGCAGAAGAAATTCTAGGCAACAGAGACATAGCAGGAGGTATCACAATCCCCAACTTGAAACTATATTAGAAAGCCACTGTAAGAAAAACAGTATGGTATTGGCAAAGAAATAGACCTAAGATCAGTGGAATAGATTAGAAGATGCAGAAACTACTCCAGACATACTCAGTTACCTCTTCTTTGACAAAGGAGCCAACCATCCTCAGTGGAGGAGTGGAAGAAAGATAGCCTCTTTAATAAATAGTGTTGGAAAAACTGGCTTTTAACTTGCCAAAGATTAAAATTAGACCTGTATCTTTCACCATGTACTGAACTAAAATTGAAGTGTATTAAAGATCTAAATATTAAAACAGAAACACTAAACTTGCTGGAAGATAAATTAGGAAGAACTCTTGAAGATACTGGCATAGGAAAAGACTTTATTAACAAATCCTCAGTAGCATGAGAAATAGCACAGAGAATCAACAATTGGGGTCTCATCTTTTAAAAAATCTTCTGCACTGTTATAGAAATCACCAACAGAGCTAAGAGATAACCTACAGTGTGGGAAATTTTTTTTTGCCAGCTATTCCTCTAGAATATATAAAGATCTCAAAAAACTCAGACCCCCCCAAATATAAAGACCCAATTCAAAAATGGACATTTGAAATGAACAGACATTTCTCAGACGAAGAAGTAAATGCAGCAAATAGACATATGAAAATCAGGTTTGCTATCACAGGTTACTCAAGAGATGCAGATGAAAACAACACTGAGATTCCACCTCAACCCAGAAAGAATGGCTGCTATGAAGAAATCAACCAATAACAAATGGTGGTGGGGTTGTGGTGGGAAAGGAACCCTTCTGCATAGTTGGTGGGAGTGCAGACTGGTGCAACTGTGGAAATCAATATGGAGATACCTCAAACAACTAGGATTAGAAGTCCCATTTGACCCAGCTATTCCTCTGCTGCATATCTTCCCAGAAGAATTAAAAGAATCACACTACAGTGATATACGTGCACCCATGTTTATAGCGGCATGGTTTGTAATAGTTAAAACTTGGAAACAGTCCAATTAATTGCCCATCAACTGGAGATTGGATAAAGAAAATGTGCTTTAAAAAAATAAAATAAAATGGAATACTACTGAGTCATAAAGAACAAGAAACTAGAAACATTTATTAGCTAAATGGATGCACATTGAGGTCATACTCTTAAGTGAAATTAATAAGACACATGTATAAATACTGAATAGTTTCTCTAGTATGAAAAACTAGAAATGTAAATAAGGATCAAAATATATAATTAATATTGTGTAATAGGAAGAAAAGGTCTAAAAGAGTAGGGGAAGTTGGAGGGGTAGGGGAAAGGTAAGAAGGCAAAAGAAAAAGTATGAGAAATGGAAAAACATGGGAAAAATATCTTTGTAAACAGGGAAGGGGAGGGCTAGGGAATGGGAAAAAAGTAAGAACTAAGATACGTCATATAAAGGTAGAAGATTCCAATGATGAATGTAACTGTATTGTGACCTAAAATGTAGCAAGAAACTTTAAAAAAGAGAGAGAGAGAAGAAAGTTCGTGTCTTTTAGAAGGTAGCAAAATCCTACTTTTCTTGACCCTGTAGGTAATATCGAGCTGTTTTCTTCATAAGCTTCTGTAGTGGAAACCCAAGCATTTCCAGCCATCTTCAAGTGTAGGTTTGGATTTCAGAGCTGATCTACTGCATGCAGTATAACAAATATTTGAAGCATGGAAGCTATGAATAAAAGTGCACCAATTTTTTCAAAACCTTATGATATTTAAATTACCACATATATGTGCCTATACACTCAAACATATAAGGTAAATATATTTTTTCATGTAAATTGTAGTCATTACTACAGCGTACACATCTTCTGCACCTTGTTACATTTCTTATTTAATATACATTATAGAAATTCATATCAGTCTAAAAACATCTGCGTTTCTTTTTATGGCTGCATTTTATTCATTGAAGTTGTGTGTTATGATTTATTTAATCTGAACTGTAGTCTTTGACCCTTAGGTTGTTTCCTTTGATTTGCTAACACAAAGAGCACACCATGTAAAAATCTTAAGCTTATTACATTTACTCATGTGTGAATAAATCCATAGGACAAATTCCTAGAAGTGAAGTTTCTGGGTTAAACAGCATATAAATGTTTAGTTTTTAAAGATAGTGCCAAAATTTCTTTCATAAAGATTGATGCTTAGATTTTAAAAATTAACTAAAATGAAATCATTTTCTTGTACAAACAACAGACTGTCCATTAATGCTTTGTACTTTCTGCTCAGTCCACCAAAGCAGCCTACCATGAAAGTTGGTGGATTTCAGTTCCTTTCATCCTGCTTTATGAGCTAGTATAAAGCATAACATAAAAGGACAAGTGAGCAAATGAGCTGTGTCGGGGAGGAGCTAGAGACATCCTGCCTGCCCTGGAGAAGAAAAAACTATGCTAAACACTCACTTTCATACAGAAAAGCGGGAAGGGCTAAGAACAGAGTACAAAGAGTTCTTGAAAAAAAGAGACCTTTTCTGTCCTTCCCTTGGTCACTAAGGCAGGCACACACAGGGTCAGGGTCTTGGTATCTCAGTTTTCAGGCAGGCAGGAGAATCCAACCACAGAGATCAAACCTGGGTAAGAACTCTGAAAAAAATGAAAACAACCTAGGTAATCAGCAAAGGAAAAGTTTGGGCAGTGGGGATAGGAAAGAAAGAGAAGTCTTTGGAGGGGAACCTAAAAGGGTGGGCAAAGAGAAAAGTCTATGGGAAAAAGCAAGGTTGAGGGTTATAAGAAACAAACAGGATTGGTGATAAAGGTTCATTACTGTTTCTTTCTATCATTATCTTTCAGGCTTGGTCCACTGCAAGACCCTTTAATGGGTTCTCACCACCTGGAATTAAGTTGTCTCCATTTTTCTCCCACTGCAAAGCCTCTTTTTCTCCTTCTCCCATGTGACACAGGGCAAGGAATCTGGTATCTTACCTTTATTGTCTCACATCTTTCCTTCTCTGAATCAAATGGTTAGTAAAACCTAGGCAGAGAGCTACCTCATTTATGCACTAGAATTCTTATCCCTGCACCCCTTTTCTATCCTGTATGTAGGGTAAATCAAGCAACTGAACACAGGATAAAGTTTGCCTTGCTGAAAAAAAGCACTGAGCTCTTTTTGTTTCTGATTCTTTCACCATACCCTTCAAGAAATAAATCCTATTAAATACCAAACTCAAGAAAAGACTACAGATGAGTTGCCTAATGAAAACAAAGCCCAGTGACTTCATAAAGTCATAGACTGGAAGTTAGGAAAAAATGTTAGGCGTGCATATGGTCTTACACTACAGCAAATACAGGAGTCCCCAGACCACCAATCTGTAATGACAAGAAACTTTAGATCAGTTCTGGGGGTAGTTAGATTATTAACACTCCTCTTTGAGCCAGGCATCATGACACACGCCTGTAATCCCAGCACTCAGGTGGTTGAGGCAGGAGGATCGCTGTGAGTTGAGACCAGCCTGGGCTACATAGTGAGTTCCAGGTCAGTCTTAACTACATAATGAGACCCTGTCTCAAACAACAACAACAAAAACCAAAACCAAAAACACTCCTCCTTATAATGAGCCTAAATTTTCTTACGTGTCTCTTAGTCCAGTTGTTATATCTGGAGTTATGTGAAATGGATATAACTTCTTTTCCTCTGGTTTCCTACAGTATGTACTATGCCATTTCTCTAGAACTTATTATGCCTTTGCATGAGAAATTTGAAATACTAATTCACCTATCTATGAACAATCCATAATGTGGCAGGCATTTGCAAAATTGATAAACATCACTTCTGCAACTATATGACAAAGTATAATGTCCATGTTGTTGGCATTAATTAATCCAGTAAAGGGTCATTTTGGTAATGCCCAAATTGCAAGAAACTGAGGTGACCTGAAGCCAGCCAGGGATGAGAAATGGCAGCAAGAAAATGAGACTCTAGGGCCAATAGGCCACAAAGTACTATTTCTGCTAGATCCTTCCCTAATCAAACCTTGAGATAAAGCCACAGTCCTACCAACACCTTGGTTTCAGCTTTAGAAGATGCTAAAACTAAGCCACAACTGAATACCTGACACACAAAAATTGTGAGTAAAATAAATGTGTGTTATTTGAAGCTGCTAAGATTCTGGTAATATTGCTATGCAGCAATAAATAGCTAGTGCATGACCCTTCAAACTTGTCTCTTTCTATTATTTTTTTTTCCTTTTTTAATCTCCTTTCCTTTGATGTATTTCCTTTCTTTACTCTCTTTTTTATCTGACCTCCTTTTAAAAAAGGAACTAATATAACTTTTCTGCCAGTCTTCATCCAGAATATTCTCTTTCCTCTTGGGATGTGGCAGATAATAACTTTGATATTCATCTTGGTGTAAGGTTGAATGAAAAAAAGATTCACATACATGATCTTGGATTTTCAGAGTCAGGGAAATCGGGTTTGAATCCTACTCTTGCTAATTAACAACTATGTGACTTTGGACAGGTTATTTAACCTCTCTGAACTTCACTCTCAATAAAACGGATATAAAAACACTGTCTTCTCGACTGAATGGTAGTAGAGTCAGTGGCTAATGGTTTCCTCTCGCAATACCTGCTAGTGTTAGTTTCCAGTGGAGTACCTAAAAGAAAGCCAATCATTCATGCTATTAAAATTAGTTTCCTACCGACATAGCTCTAATATACTAAAGGTTGCCCATCTCTCTCTTGGTCTTGAATTGGATTACAAAGTCTCCTCTCTGTTTTCCCAGTTATAGAGTATGCCAGAAACCAAAACGGAAGTACAAGAAAAGAACGTGTGCCACTATGCCTTGCACTACTGTCTTCCAGAATTAAGGAAACCATATTCGCCGTTTATGCTTTCAGCATTTGCCTCTCTTTCCTTTTCCTTGAGTTCAGTTCTCCCCAGTAAACTTTAGAGGTTAGGTCAAAGTGAGGATGAAGAATTATCTCAGTGAGGAATGTCAGTAGAAGCATCATGTATCTTGATTTTATAAATCCCCAAAGGTGCCACTAAAAAAACCAGAACTAGAACTAACAAACAAATATAGCAAAGTTGCAGAGCACGAAATAAGTACATAAAAATCAGCAGCAAAGCTACTGAATTATTTGAAATAAAAATCAAAGAAGCAATCTCATTTACAATAACTACAAAAATTACACATCTAGGAATAAACTTAACCAAAGAAATAAAAGTTTTTACAATGAAAACTGTATAAAACACTTCTGAAACAATTTGAAGAGTGTAGGGAACAGGGAAAGGGGACCTTAGGAGAACCTCTGCAGTAAGTCCTAGTCTCCTGCGAGCTATGCGAACACAAGGTGAATTAATTAATTAATTCAGCTTTGGGCCTGATCTACAAGACGAAAAGACGAAAGCCCCCAGCTTGCCACACTCACAGGGGTAACAAATGTAACAGGTGGCTCACAGGGCCCTGGCGGGGGAGGAAAATCCTAGAACAAAGAGGAACAATGCAGATGAAGATTTTCTTCCTTCCCAGGACTCCTCCAGCTGGTGTAATCTTGCCCCGGAGCATCACAGCATCACTGACCTTTGAGGTTTTAGCTGTGACTGGAGGCCAAAATGGAGTTATGTCTCCACATTTCATAGCCGGCCGGTAGGCAGGAGAACTAGGCCTAATAATAATTTAATTGTGAAATGATTTTTCCTCCAAATTATGTAAAATTGTTCCCAACAGAAGAGGATATAAATAAATGGGAAGACATCTTGCACTCAAAGGCTGGAAGAGAAACAATATTGTAAAAAAAGTTCATGCTACCCAAAGTAACCCATAAATTTACTGTAATGGCATTTTTTTTTTTTTTTTTTTTTTTTTTTAGCGGTTGAAATTTCTTTCTGGTTCAAATGTACTTTTATACCAAAGTCTTCACAGAACTCCATGCAATTTTCCCTCTCTCTGTGTCCTTTTCCAATCATACCATCTTATACAGGAGCTGGTAAAGGCCTTGCATGCAGAGTGGCATCTGTGAAGAGACCATTTATGAAAAGCTACAAATAAGTCATAGTCTAAAACTATAAAAGTTGATGCTAATCTAAAAAAATGACTTTTCCTTTAATAACTGGTTCCTAACTGCATTCTATGTTAGGATCCATTATTATTATTTGGCTAGTATGTCTTACTTTCTGCAATTCTCACTTTGAATGGCTGTGGGATAAGTATAGGCCCTGGAAAACTCATGGTGTCAGAGATTTTACTTCTACTTTCCTGAAAACCTCTCCTGTATTTCTTTTCTTTTCTTTTTTAAAAATTAATAACTGCACATGTTGTATTTTGATTCCTAATTATTTCCTGTTTCCCTTCCTTCCTTTCAACCTCTCTTCCCCTTCTTATTCACAACGCTTTGTTTCCATTTTATCTTTCTTTTCTCATGTTTTTCTTTTACCTTCCTTCCTTTCCTCCCTCCCCCTTCCCTTTCTTTTTGAACAATATCTTCCTATTTCACAGTATCTATTATACATTTTGGTTCTTAGTTATGCTTTCAGTTTCTCACACCAGAGAGCCAATGTGATCTTTACACGTATGTCCTATTTATTTCACTTATGAGTGTAGTCTCAAGGAGCATCTATTTAGCTATAAATGTCTCAAGTTTATCTTTCTTTATGGTTGAGTAGTACTCCATTTACATAAAAACTTTTTAAAAATCCATTTGTGGGTTGATGAGCATTTGGCTGTTTCCAAGATTTAGCTATTGAAAACTGTGCTGCTATAAACATGGGTTCTCATATATCTCTGTGGTATGATGCTTTTAATTCTTTTGGGAAGACACCAAGAAGGAGGATAGCTTGGTCAAATGGAACCTCTACTGCAATAACATTCTTGACAGAACTAGAAAAACAAGCTGATTGTGGTTCATCTTTATTCATCTTTTATTGTACTCTTTAAATTTTTTATACTTTGGGTTTTCCTTGGAAGAGAAACCATGTGTTATTTACCCTTCTATGTGTGATTTATTTCACTTAGCATTATAGTCTTAAAATGCATCTATCTTTCTATAAATTACTCAAGTTTACCCTTCTTTATGGGAAATTAGTATTCCTACATATCCAATTTTCTTTATCCATTCATCTCTTGATGGACATAAAGGCTACTTCCAAGGTTTATCTATTAGGAGTTGGGATGCTACAAACATGAGTGTGCCTGTATGATTGTAATATGAAGTCTTAACTCTTTCAGGAAGATACAGTGGTGCCTCAGTTCACAAACTTCTTTCCATGATTCTAGTCACAGAATTCATCCACAATTCTGGCTGCAACCAAATTGCAAGTATATGAATGAGGAATATGGAGCAAACTCTGAGACCAGAATTGTGGAAAGAATTAAGTTCATGAACTGAGATACAGTGGGAAATACTTGGAAGAAGGGGAGAATCTGAGTTGAATGGAATTTCTATTTTCAGTTTTTTAAAGGAATCTCAATATTGGTTGCCCTAGTTACCATTCCCATCAAAAATGTGTAAGTGCTGTGCGGTACCAGCATAGGCCCAAAGCAATAGGGACGAAGGACCATGTACTGAATCTGTGCAACAATACACCAAAACAAGCCTTTCTTTTATAAAAGTTGATCATCATGGGTATTTCATCACAATGATGGAAAGCTAACAGAATGGTTATCTCAGGTACTTTGTCACAGTGTCACCATCTTGTATTCAGAAACTTTGTATTATCTCTTTGTATTATTTCAGCAACTTTGTATGACCCCTTCTCAGAGGTTCCAACATTTTCAAACAGTCTGAAGGATACTATGTTCACTTCAAGTTAATAATAATTATAAAGTCATGGCTAACATTGGAAATCAGGAAGTGAAAGATAAATAAACTACTTAGAATTGTGTCCACTGTTTTCAATTTTTTGGTCTCTTTTTAAAAATGTTTTTGTGTCTTCTCTACTCCATCCCACCATATGCACACCCTCACCCACACAATGATTAGGACTTCCAGGGACTTGTTGGTACATAGTTTTAATAGTCAAACAACATGACAATGTTCTGAAGGAAAAAAAAAATAGCTATCCTTTCCCATCTACTCAGTTTTGGTAAAAATCAAGAAGTTTTAAAAGCCTCATTAAAAAAACAAAAAACTTCATGACATCACCCAATAAACACATTCACGATTTAATTATCTTAATCAGATAGCTTTTCTTCTCTTGTATGACATTTACTTGTTTTGGAGGATTTTGTTTGGTTTTTTTCTTATGGAGTTTTCCATTTTTAATATTTGGTTAAGCAAAATACATCTTTCGTAAACAAACCCAGCACAAGGCCAACAACAATGACAAAAAGAAACAAACGCAAACAAACCAAAGCTTAGGGTTGCCCCTTACTGGGCATCAGGGTCAGGCCTGCTCTCTTCTTTAAAGGAGTGGGCCTTCTGCCCTTGGGCATCAGCATGGATCCTCATTCCTAAGCGCCAGTATTGGATATGATCAGAGAAACCAGCCCAGAGATGTTAAAGCCTTTTTTCCCATTCCATTGGCCTGTGGACTCCAAGTGCCATTTTCACAGGCCCATGCAGATCTTTGGAGAGGAGTTTTCTCCTCTGATGAAATGGCTATCACTGACAGTCCCAATGGACCCATGGTCCTGCTTGTGACAATCAGCAAGGTTGGCTAACTTCCTGGCTTGTGTGGTTGGAAGTCATTGTGCAGGGGGAAAGAGCTCCCTGTGGTGCCTGGGTCTGGTGTAGAAAATGGTGCAAAAGAGACCATGGCCAGTTGCTAAGAGTGCATAATACAGTCACCACTTGGGGCCCCTTGTTACTCGGCATAAAAAATGGCCTGGTTGGGTTGAAGATACATACGCAGAAAAAGTACTGGTATAAACATGCACTCCAGTCACAGTGGGGAGCAAACCTCGGCTTCCCCAGTGAAGCTTGCTGAGGATCAACATGAAAGCCCCAGGCCGGCTCTGCTGCTGGAGAGAAGTCTGGTTATGGAGGCAGCCCTCAGATCTGCTGAGACCATGGATCTTGAAGGACTGGCTGGGTCACCCCTACCTGCCCACCTGTCCTGAAGCAACCACAGCCACTTTGGTGACACACGTGGTATGAGAATCTACTTCCTCTCCCCTTTTGTTTATCCAAGTTACAGGATAAATGTGGCCTGCAACTATTTCAAGAGGTCAGGGGTGGGTCAATCTAGTGATTTGACAAAGAAACTACACAGAGATAACAAATGCCGGTCCTATAACAATGCACATAACCACCCAGCTTGAGGGCTCTGCTGCTTGTCACCACAGTGACTCTCAACCTCACAGCCCAGGACTTCTGCCAATTCTATCTGCTTTTTAACTCTGAGAAGTATATCTTCACATTACTTCCCTCACGTACTTCTGTCCCAAGCTAGTAGAATTTGTTATCAAGGGTAGATATAATTTTCTGATTGTGCCAGAGCAAACAAAGTATGAAAACTGCCCATTTTCCTTGACCTTTGCCTCCTAAATCAATGTAGTGAAATGGTAGGGACAAAACTGGAGTGAAGAAAACCACCCCACATCTGTCCCAGTTTGGCTTTAGGCACATTCTCTTAGCTATGTATTCACCTTCGTCTCGCTAGAAGATTGTGGGATTTAGTCACCTGACTTGGAATATTGGAGAGCTTCAAAAAATATTAGAGAATTTTTCATTATAAAGCTCAAGGCTGGCCATACGCCACTTGTAAAAGTGGGTGGGATGGCGTTCAAGGTTGCAGATGGCACAGCACGTGGTGCCGCTGAGGTAGGGAGACATTTCCAGAGAGACACTTATGCTCTAGGTCCTTGGGGGCAGTCACTGGGTCTTGCCAATACTGTGTTTTCAGACTCACTGGAGTCATGGCCGAAGAAAGTGGGGGAAGCATCTCGTGATCCTGGAGCAGCAATGATGACTCCAGCAGAACCTGTCAGGTCCTCAGAGAAAGGGCAAACAGCTGGGACCCACCTTGCCTTCTCTCTGAATGGAAGCAAAGGCTCCCTACAGCAGGCCCTCCGTGCTCGGGCCCCTCCCTTCCTTCCCCAGGCACGGATAGGAGGTGGTTCTTGCCATAGTCCACACACCTGTCCTACTGCACTGGCAGGTCAGAAGTGGGAAGCGGAAGGCGGATGAGATATTTGGGGAAGTCGCCAGGCCAGGCCCACCAGAGGCCACAGCACGTCACAGAGGCCTGGAGGGTGGGGCAGGGAGCAGGCTGCTACATATCAGCCCTCCAGCTCTGATGGGCTTCTACCCCTTCTTTCCTGGCAAATGATGTTTTAAAAATTTCCTGAGCTCACTCTAACCTCTAATCCACTCAAGCATCTCGAGTTTGGAGTCGAGGTTGTAATAGGCGCCCCCCTACCTCTCGGATCAGATCCAGTTCGGCCGTTTGAGGGGCAGCTTGAGTGGTCTCCAGCACAGCCTGGAGGGCACATTCATGATGAAGCCCATTACGTTAGTGAGAGCAGTGACGCTGCCATCCCTGTGCTTGTCCTACCAAACAGCTTCATAACCTTTGGTCTGAAGAGCTGCCATAATGACGTTCACATCCAAGTTCCCATTTCCCAGCATGCTCTTCTGCTGTGGCGTCACCATGGCGTGTGGAGATGACTTCTGGAAAATTACGGCGTTTCCAGGGTGAAGGTGTTGCGGTCCTGGAAGACATTATGAGGGAGTGTAGAGAACAAAGTTCCCTGTGCTGTTTCTTGTGGTAGATTTGTTGGGGTGCTGCCTGGGGCAGCTCCAAGGATTCAGATTTGGCCTTGTCTCCTTTCCATGGCATGCAACTCATGTTTTTTGTTTCAGGTTCCAGAGAGGACTAAAAACATCCCACTCTTCTCTCCTGCGGAAAATGGAAACTTCTCAGTCTTTTCAGGATTCCTGAGGTCCACCTTATTCTCTGGTGTCCATGATTTATGCTTTGTCACTGGGAGAAAACGTTGGAGTCAAAAAAGAAAAACAAAAATCCATCTCTTTTCTCAGTAGAAAAATACAATTTGGATTAGTTTATATTGCAACCACCATCAAAGTGCGGGGTTTTAAAAAACCATATAAATCAAGACTTGCCATGTAAAGGTACATGATCCCAACAATGAATGTAACTGTACTGTATCCCTAAATGTACCAATAAACTCAATAAAATTAAAAAAAAAAAAAACATAGGACCTTGTTGCTCTTTTCCTCCACTCACCTCTAGAAAGTCACGTTTTCCTCCTCCTTGTGTCTTTCTCTCTGCAGATACCAACCAGGCCTCAAGCAGGAGGACCAGAATGGGTCACATCACTCCTCAGGAAGCGCGGACTCTGTCCTTTCACTGCGGCCCTCGGGGACAGCTCTCTGTGGCGTCACCGGTCACCCTTCATTGCTGCCCGGACCTGTGCCACCTGGGCCTGATGTCAGCAGCTGTCTCAAGGAGTTCGAGGAGGATTTTGTTTCTTTTGTATCCTTTTGATGCTGGAATTGAATTTAGAACATCTGATGTACTAAGCACACTTTCCACCACTGACGTATATCGTCAGCCCCCCACCTAATAACTCCAAATTCTTTTCTCTCTTGTGTGTTTGCTGCTGGTTTTCATGTAAGAGGCTTACCTTATGGGTCTGGTGATCGCTGGCTATCAGTTCACATTTAAGAGGATCTGATAGATAGTACCTTAGGGTCATTAGTTTGTATTGCAAATATTAGCTTTTCTTGACTGTTCTATTGGGTTGGAGTGGGGAAGGAGTTATAAGCAATCTACCAGGAAAAGAGGCTGCAAGTCTCACTATTTAATATGTGATTTAAATTTAGTCCTTCTACGAGTATTTTAATACAATCCACTGTCAGGTTTAGAATTCTGGAGTCTAGCTTACTCCACACAGCCCCTTCCCTCAACAAACCTCACTTGGAATTTCAGAGGATAAGGAGAGAACAACGACTCACAGAGGTGAGCTGACCGATTTGGTGGTGGGTGTCCAGCTCCCTACTTAGATGTAAAATGGACCTTTGGCTTACAGGGCCACACTCCTCTCCACATTTACAGTTACACGCAATTCCTGAATTTCTGTAAAGAAAGTTTTTTCCTCCTTTTTTCCTCTTTATTTCCTTCCTTCCTTCCTTCCTTCCTTCCTTCCTTCCTTCCTTCCTTCCTTCCTTCTGTACTACTGCAGATTTAACCCAGTGCCCTTGCACTAAATTATGCTCCCAGCCCTTTTCATTGATCATTATTGTATTATTACTATTGTTATTAATTTTTTCTTTTTCTTTTTTTAGCCCTCCAGACGCTGCCGGGAGCTTGTGGGCCCACACTGCCATGTTATCAGCCGGATCAGGGCACACTGCTGCAGAGCTGCTGAGGGCCTGGCTGTCACCAGCACCCCCTCCGTCTATTGTTATTAAATTTTGAGACAGGGTCTCACTATGTAGTTCAGGCTGGCCTTGAACTGGCTATATAGCCCATTCTGGCCTCAAACTCAGGGGGATCCTCCTGCTTCATCCTCCTGAGTGCTGGGATGACAAGCATGTAACACCACACCTGGACTCTTTTTTTTTTTTTTTTTTTTTTTTTTTTTTTTTTTTTTTTGATTTTTTTCTGAGACAAGTCTTGCTAAGCTGCCTGGGTGGGACTCAAACTAGCAGTGCTCCTGCTGCAGCCTCCCAAGTGCTGGGATCACAAGCATGCACCATCACAGCTGGCTGCTTGCTTTCTTAATCATATTATTCTTAGAAAATAAAAATTGTTGTGAATACCGTTGTGTTGAAAAGTAAATTTATCTATATTACTAGCAACAACACACGCACTGGCCCTGCCCCAGTTTCTTATTCATGTTTTGACCTTGTTTGATTTGTTTGTCATGCAAACTTTCTTAATATGAAGTTTTTACAAGTTATAAATTATTTCACTAGGAGTTAAAAAATATCCTTCTGTCCTCTGTAACTGTATAGTTTCTCTGTTTTTTTATATTTGTTGGGAGAGGAATAAATATGGAATCTGTTTTGTTATAAGATGTCAAGCAATGGTGGGCATCTAACATTTTTTTCCCCAGCCAATTGGAAAAGTGTTTCAGTATACTGCTTTGAATTCTTTATCCATTTATTGATGATTTGAAATGCCATTTTATGTTAAATTCTGATTTGAATTAAGGTTCTAAGATTCTTTTTTGTATATATTTTTTAAAAATTTATGCTCCATTTACCACACCATTTCTATTATTTTTGTGGTTTAATAATAGGTTTAACTTATCTGGTTTGCTAATTTGGGTTTAATAATAGCTTTGCTATCTTCTTACAGTGATTTGGAGAACATCCCAGTAAGTGTTCAGGTCAAAAGCCTCACAGTAATTCTTTCACTTTCTCTCACAGACTACATTCAATTCACAGCAAATTTGTTGATTTGCCACATTATGCTTTAAAATATATCCTGTATCAGGGGTAACACATCGTACTAAATATGTAAGGTCATATCTACGTGGGTTTGATTATAGAAACTAATAAAGTATTCGCTAATAATGAGAAAAAGAATAAGATAAGACTATAAGAGCGAGAAGCAATTTAAATATGTTCAGGGACCATTTTCATCTCCAGAATTAAGGACTATTTTAATGTTACATCATTGCCTTTTCTCTTTTACTTTCCTTTTTAGTTTTATTTTAGGATTCCCTATTTTTAATGTTCATACAGAGATTTCTTGAACTGAAATACCGAATAGTTTCTTTGGTGTGAAAAACTATAATAGTACACAGGATCCTAATGAGATAATTAATAATGTGAAATAGGAAGTAAAGGGCTAAAGGTGTAGGGAAAGTGGGAAGGGTGGGGGAAAGGTAATAAGGGAGAGGAAAAAAATGTGAGAAACTGAAAAAATGGAAATAAAGTGTTTGTAAATGGGGAGGGGAGGAGGGGGTGAAGGGAGGGCAGGGACAAGGGGAAAAAATGAGAGTCAAGACCTATTATGTAAAGGTACAGAATCCCAATGATGAATGTAATTGTATTGTATACCTAGATTGTACCAATAAACTCAATAAAAAGAAAAAAAATATATATCCTGTATCTGACTGGTTCTCTACTAAATCCTAGGCAAAGCCACTATCATTTGCATCATTTGGATTGTAATAGTCTCCTAGTTTCCTTGCTTGTGTGTTTCATGTTTCAGAGGTCTAGGTTGCATGGAAATCAGAGGTCAGGTTACCACTCAAACACTCCGAAGAAGAGTTTCATCTCACAGACCTTGGCCGACACTGCCTTACTGACCATTTCCAGCCCATCCTCTTCTACAACCTTCATCATCTGCTTTTTCCCAGAGGCCTCCTTGCTTTTCCTCAGACACATAAGCACACTAAGTATAAGCCGTTTAAACTTGCCATCCCTGCTGCATGGCACATGCTTCTCTCAGATACCCATTTAGATTGGTGGCAGAAACAAAAGACCAGGGTAAGAAAGTGAAAATGTGCTCATGTCATAATTTCTTAACATATAGTAGCCAGAAATTAGCTAAACATGGCAGAGTATAGTTCAGAGTAAAGGTAACTACCTAAAGCAAAACTATGAACTTTTTGAATAGTTAGAAACACAGGAGCTGGGGATTTTGCTCAGTGGTTCCACCACCTGCCTCACGCAAGGTCCTGAGTTTGATCCCTGGAAAAGAGGGAGGGGAG